CTTCCTGCAATAATAGCATTGCTTTTGACCGCAACTTGTTCTTTTCTCTATATGCTCCTCTTCCACAAAATGCACCACGATCACCTCTTCCTTTATAAGCACTTCCTGCTCCTCTACCACAACCTCCTTTGTTGCTACTACCTAAAATTTTCTCCACTTGAAATGACCTCTCAATTATCTTTATTTCTCTTCTATTTATTCTCTCCTCATAAGCCATCAAAGAACTAATTATTTCATCAAAATAATGCACAACAAGATCTTTGTATTCTTCAATAGCGGTGACCATATGTTCAATATTAAATGGGTGACTTCTTAGGACTTTGAAAACTACCTTTCATCAGACATCAACTCTCCAAATGATCACGTTTTGTTTACAATTGTTGATACACAAAAGAGATAATTCTGAACATCATATTCATGATTTCAAAGTCACGTCTCATAGGTATCAACTTTACTGTCTTTACTCTTGTAGAGCCTTGAAACTCTTTGTCTAAAATATCCCAAGCTTCTTTTAATGTTTTTGCCATAGAATTCTTAAAATATTTTATCATCCATAGCTTATTCAATGAAAAACAAAGCCTTTGAATCCTTCTTGTTATCATTATTTTTTCCTTCATCTTCTCTAATTTACATACCATTCATCATAAGATCCAATAAATCTTGTGATTTAAACAAGGTCTTCATTTTGATACCCCAAAATACTTCTTACCAATGAAGATGGGAATTAAAGGTTGAGAAATAGTGCTTGTTGCCATGAAAACATTTCACAAATATTTGAACGAGAATCACAAACCTTATCTTAGAAGAATAGACGAAGTCTTCCAAAACTTTGCTTCAATCCAAAAATTCAACACCCATTTCAATCAAAACCGAACTCGATACCATAATGTTGAAATATTGGAGATATAAGTTAAACAAAAGAATAAGAAAATACTAGTGGAAAAATAAAGAGCAAGTGCAGAAGTTTATTCTTTAATACTCACGTACAGGAACCCAAAACAATTAATAACTATTTAATACAACTTAAAAACCAACTAATATAAATAATCAAAGGACACATCTTTTCACTAACAACACAACTTTTCAAGTTTAAATTAAATATTAGAATTAATTTTGCATTAATATTAGACGTTATCAACAAGTAAAACCCCATTAACGACGATCATATGAGCTACGAATTAGAAATTACGTGCAACGCCAAATGAATTTCTGGGTAAAACTTCATATTCCACACTTCCATGATCATTTACCTGTAGAAGACTGCTTAGATAAGGAACTATTCACTGAAATTTTCCTATGGAGATTCGGCTTAAGAAATATGTAATAATCGCATAAAATTTGGGAGAGAAGAGCGCTTGCTGGAATCATATTCTCCATTGTCATCAGCGAGAAGCCGAGTAGGAGGACATGCCCGAACCTGATTTAGAATGAAGTAATCATTGAGAGGATATTTCTTGCCAATATGTAATATAGATCGCATAAAATTTGGGAGAGAAGAGCGCTTGCTGGAATCATATTCTCCATTGTCATCAGCGAGAAGCCGAGTAGGAGGACATGCCCGAACCTGATTTAGAATGAAGTAATCATTGAGAGGATATTTCTTGCCTAACACTTCTGAACAAATCTTATACCTCCAATGCCAATATTCTGTTTTAGAGATCACAATAATATATTGAGAAATTGTTTAAACTTTTAGGCTTCATTTGGGATACTTTTTTATTATATATATATATTTTAATTGAGTACATAAAATTTCTGAAAGCGATGAAAAAATAATTGTCAAAAACTATCTCTAATGAAGCCTTAATGCATGAGATATCCTTAATGAAGCAAGCAATCAATTTGTAACTTGCTACATGTAAGTACATTTAAGGCCTTAAAATAGAGGATAAATTCTATTTATTGTTGTCACAAATAGTCAACTATAGCGCACATGAAGGAGCCATGCGACTTCTTATCGACCGACATGTGGTGAGCAAAAAATGACCTTGAAAAAAAAAATGATCCTACGTACCCAACCAAATGTATGTTGGGGATGTGAAAGTAAAACACCGTAACGAAACAAAGAAGAAAAATAGAAATGCAGTGAAAATTAAAAGACACTAGGATTTAATGTTAAAAACTCGAAATCGAGAAAAAAATCACAGAGCCACACCACACCAAAAAATTCACAATGAAAATTGAAAGAAATAAGTACATATCTCTCTCTCCTCACTTGCTCTCTCCTTCTCTACACTCTTGCATCGTTCTTATCTTAAAACAAACAAAGAGATACAATATATATCACCAAGGGGCGTCACCCTTCAGAAAAATGAGAAAGAAAAACTATCCAGTCTACACCAGTTTTGAGCACTGTGACACTCAACCTTTATCATTTGGTCCATCTAACAACACTGTGGAGCCTAAATACAGCAATGAGATGTTCTGCTCTATATTTATTTCACGAGAAAATGTCCAGCGTAGCACTGGGGTGCCCGGGTACATAATGCTGAGGGGCTCGGTTACACGGTGTCGATGCGTTGTATGGAAAAAGAAAATCCAAGGCAAAGCACCCGAACTCGAGCAGGGGGGAAACCCGATCAAGTCCATGACAAAAGTACAACTCGATTGACCAACACAATCAAATTACACACATAATTAACGAACTAGCATCATTTAATAATGAACTTCAACTAAAATAAATTTAATAATTTACTTTTTATTAAATAACCCGTGCTTATTATTTATTGCAAATTGAATGCCAAAATTCATAAAAAACAATTGTGTCATTAGTACACGAGCTGTCATTAGTACACTAGAGTTGATGAACTTAATATTGAATGACAATATTAAAAAGATCCTGAACTTCATCTTTTGCTTCTTCCTGCATGGAAGTGGAGCACTACAGACTTCGACGGATATTGAACACCCTATCGAGCTTCCAAATCAGTAATTGTAACGGAATTTGCAGACACTGCTCTCAGATTTTCTTTCTCATAAACATTTTGCTCACTTTTTTGCACAGACGAGTCAGAATCTCTGCCTGTCATGTAGAATGGAGGCGTCGATGGAATTGGAATTGTGGTCGAGTGAGAACTAATCATCACCATCACTGAATTCATGCTCGGCCGCAGCAATGAATCCTCCTGCACGCAAAGTAGTCCAATTTGCAAACATCGGAGTACTTCTTGAGGTTGAAATTCATGCCCAAGACATTGATCAACCACTTGCAATGCCGTTGCCGTCCCCTCATTCCAATACTTCCAAACCTGAAGAGTAAGATAGTCACAACCATGATCAAGAAAATTGATTTCATATCAAACATGTAAAGGTATCAGGATTCATTTCATACGAGTTGATACAAATGTTGTTGGTATATAAATAACGTTTGAAAATCTTGTTACTTAACAACTTCGATGTCTTAAATTTGCATTGAGCAAACTTCAAGAGGCTGTAACTCCTAAAATTGCCGACATGAGATTTAGCAATTTTTTGGCACTTTGACCTTTCATAATTTAAACGTTTATTTTTAAGTGAAGTGATGTCCCCTACCCACCCACCATTATTTAGTTTGGTTGGTGGGTGAGTACGGTTGGAAACCTCCCAACCCGTATTTGATTCCCCTCGAGCGGCATCGCCTCTTAAGTGCGGGCCATGAGGTTTCTGCGGTGGGTGCCTTTTCTAGGTCAGCTGAGGATTAGTCCGCCGCCAAGCACTCTTTCGGGGGTGGCAGCGGGTGGATGCCCCATTCCCAAAAAAAAATGATGTCCCCGCAGTAGAACTTTTTTATTAGTAATAGTTTTTTTTAATACATATAAGATTACAGAGTTTAATCTAATATCGAATAGCTGAAATTTTTGCTTATATAAAATATTAGTAATTAGCTCTGACTCATGTTTAGGATTTTACAGAATAGGCTCAACTTTCACCCCCATGATCCACTCTGTAACAAGTGATAGAAGAGGAATCCTTACATAGCCTAGGAGGTCTAAATGATGCCCTATGTCTGCGAAAATGCCATTCCTTCTGCCGGTGATGATCTCTAGAATCAGCACCCCATAGCTAAACACATCTGATTTAGTAGAGAAGAGACCAGTCATCGCATATTCTGGTGCCATGTATCCACTAAAATAACAATGGAATGATTAGATTTTATAATTGGCCAAAACTATAAATTTATCAAGGTAATGTGTTATATGCTTACAATGTACCGGCAATTCGATTTGTGTTTTGTTGTGTTTGATCAATGTGGAAAAGCCTCGCAAGGCCAAAATCTGATATTTTAGGCCTCATGCTGTTGTCAAGCAATATGTTGCTTGCTTTCAAATCTCGATGAATGATCTTGAGACGTGAATCCTCATGAAGATAAAGGAGCCCCCTACCAATACCTTCTATAATCTTGTATCTGGTTCCCCAATCGAATTGTGGTCGCTCCGTAGAATCTATATATTCAATTAATGTAAGAAGAAGGAATGTAATTGTAAGGAATTTATACAAACCATAACTTACGAAATGAGATAAAACCTTAAGTTGTTGTTTAATAAAGAAAACTATTCAAAATTTCCACTGGTAGAAAGAAAGATGTGAAAGGCATACCAAATAAGTATTTGTCAAGGCTCGTCTTAGGAAGATATTCATAGACAAGAATCTTTTCGTTCTCCTCCAAGCAACAACCAAGCAATCTCACAAGGTTCTTGTGCTGAAGCTTGGCAACCAAAGCAACCTCATTTTTCATTTCGACAAATCCTTGTGTAGAAGTTCTTGATAGTCGTTTTACTGCTATATGTTGTCCATCTTCTAGTAAACCCTGAGTAAACATTTAAACAAATAGCACTTTTCTAGATCTATGTGTAGCTCAAAAGAATAAAGTTTTATAAAAGTTCAATTTGTATTAAGGGAGAAACAAGTGTTACAACAAAATTTATAGTAGAACAATTTCCTACCTTATAAACTGGCCCAAATCCACCTTCTCCAAGCTTATTTTCTTCAGAGAAATCATTTGTGGCTTTTCTAATTGTATCCATATCAAATAACAGAGATTCGGTACTTCTGATATTCTCCTTCTCTACAAAATGGCCTGAAGAAAGTTTTGATTTCAACCGAATACCAAACAGCATTTTCTGATAAATATAAACAAATATAAGTATTACTGGTTCGTAGTCTTTTCGGAGCTCTCCTCTTTGTAGATTGTAGGATCAAGAAAACAGACAGCAACGTGAAGACAACAGAAACTGGAAGGACAATGATCAGGATCTTTTTTGTAGTGTTGGTGTTATTCCCTGAATAAAAAAGAAATCTTTGTAGAAAATATAAAATTCTGATTTTATCATGCTAATCTGAAAAAAAAAAAATTAGGGTTCTTATTTTGCCAATATCCAGTTTTATGCTGGAATTTCATTGTCATACAAGATAGGAACTAAAAGTTATTAAATCAGACTGTACGCAACTTTAGTTTGTATTGAAATAATGAATTTGATTTGACCTAAGTTGAGATCACCTAGAATTAGAGATATTATTTTGTGTGGACACCGGGCACAGCTTGCCGTCCAGAGACAAATCAGGTGCAGCCACGCCATCCAGTACCGAGCAGTACCGAGCCACGGTACCGAGTAGAGGGTGACGCGGCTCATTTTTATTGGACTCTGGACGGCATTCGGCATCCGCAGAGAATAATTCATCCTAGAATTAACCTGTAGTTAAACTTGACCAATTTGAGATCAGACATAAGAACATTAAATCGATATTGGGATGGAGGTACATCGGTTCAAGATGGATGAGTCACAGCATTACAAAGACATCAAATAACATAAAAATTAAGACTTGAAAACTTACCCTTGCTTTGGCCGTCCTTACCGTTACCACTGTTGCCACCCTCAACAGCAGCCGGTGAAGGCCGGGGAGGTACCTCTGCTGTAGATGGCGGCGGAAGTACTGACAAAAATGAATAGGTTTCAAATCTCGTTATGCAGCTCACCGTCATAACCTGGCCACCAACCTTGTCAACGGGAAGCATCCCCGCCATCCCGTCAAGGCATTGTTGACAATCACTGCTTGATAGGTCTTGGGTGCACCAAGCCATTCCATAGATGTCTTTAAGCTCAGAGTAGTTAGCATTTCCTTCTCCAAACCTTGACTCAGCCGTGGAAGCTTCTGGTGATATCTTACCCATCAGAGCATTCACTGTCTGTTTGAAGACCACCGGATTCGAGGCGTTCTCTATGTTAGCCAAAGGTAAAATCTTTGATGTCTCAGGAATGGAAAAGAAGCGTTGGTCAGAGTAGCGGAGCACACAGTGATCCGCGCGGAAAGCTGCAGATTTGCTTTGAGGGCAGCCCTTGGCTCCTACCGCAGCTGTAGCTGAGCTGTTGAGGCAGTCGATACAGGTGGCCGCGGACACATCAGGGCGGCACTGGGCAAGGCCGAATACCTGGGCATCTGGTGAGCTTCCGATGGTGGTGGTGGAGTACAAAGAAGAATTCCAGGTATACTCTGTCAGTTTGGTGATGAGGCTGCGGAGGTTGGATTCGTATGCGCTTCCTGCGTTATAGTTGGTATTGCCACAGGAGGTGAAAATGATGTCCTCGGACCGAGTTCCGGTGACGAGAAAGAGTAGTATTTGCAAGGAGAGGAGGAAAGAGTAAGGAAGCGCCATGGCTTCGGAAATGGAATGGTTAGAACTCGACTCTGTGGAGAGGAGCTATAGAAGCTGAAATGCTTGACTGTATGAATGTTCATATGGGCAATTTGTTAAATCAGTGAGATTAGTACGTTGAACGCATGCCACGGCCGAAGAAGTACGAATCGCGGACCCGCGGCTACGGCATCGAACGCGGTGCGTGTAGATTTTATTAGATTCTGTCTTTTCAAAATTTTCTTTTGAAAAAACTTGTTGCGTGAAACACTGAAACTTTACCCAAATTTGCCAAAGGCCAGAAACATTGACTGGACCGAAAGATTTTGGCAATCACTATTAGTCCCTAAAAGCAATTAGCATGATATCACAATTAAGCATAACCAGTTGATTTCTGTCATCCGCGTTTGAGTAGCATACATCAATTGGAAAGCCAACTAACCAGTCTGAATAGAGTTTTTTTTTTTTTTACATTTAGATCAATTTAGAGAAATTTATACACACATGATATACGTAAACATTGAACTTAGAGATCTCTTGATTGATAGATATTTTGCAACTGTTTTAGCTCGATAAAGTTTGACGGGGGTTATTAGAGACACTTGCATGGAGTGATTGTTTAGCCGGGCGCAATACATTTGATCCCGGCCTCACAGACAAAGATCGTCCTGCTGCCTATGACGAACCACCTGAGACAATTTCACAAAGAAACAATCGTCCTGTGCTACCTTGGAAAAATTATTACGTGCGGATCCAAATTCATCCGGAGACCAATAAAAATGCGCCACGTTGGCCCAAAAATATGAATGGTTCTCCCATCCGATGTCCGCACAGAATAATCGCTCGCTACCTTGGGACGACTTACCCGAGCCTGATTTCACCTGGAAGAAAACATGCGCGAAGGACAACGCACCCATCTCTTCACGGAAGGGTGCTGAACGAGACCACCACCTGAATTCAATTTAGGATACAGGAAACTACTCTCGAAAATAGATAAGTCACGAAATACTGTCAAAACAGAGAATTTAAGGACCCTGAACGACACCCATCTTTGTATTATTTAACTATGTATATAGACAACGCTATATGTCAAAATACAGGACGAATACTACAAGCAAGCTACATGTAAAGCTATAGCCTAATAAAGAAACTTTTAACATATCTTCTGACATCTCATTTGAGGTACAGGCCAATAATTTTTTTTTTCAATACCGAAGTGACCAGCTAGTCCTTCCTCATGGCATTCAATGATCAAGGCCAATCGAGTAGAGCATTGAGGAATGCACAGGCGTTTGATAAAAAAATCGATACCCTTCCTTTATATGAAAGAATTATGGTCTAGTTTGGAATTTGCATCAAATAGGTTGAAAATCTGCATCCTGACAGTATAATTCTTTTAACAATTCAAACCCAAAAATTTTAGTTTGTAAAACTTATAATAAGAGGTGTCATCGGCTAAGAGCATCTGCAATTTGGTTGCACTAGCTTGCCTTATGCTTGAGGACATAATGGAAAGCAGCCAAAAATTTGGATCACATTGCATGCTTTACTTTCAACTTCTTTTGACTATTAAAAAAATGGAAAGCTTCATGGTCAGAAAAAAGAACAAATTCGTTAGCGAGTGAATAATGATTCCAGTGATGTAAAACTGGGACTATTGCATAAAATTTCTTATCATAGGTTAAATATTTTCGGCATGCAACATTTAATTTTTTGCTGAAAAAAGCAATAGGGCGACTGCCTTGACTGAGCACTGCACCAATGCCTACATTCGAGGCATCATAATCTACCTCAAAAACTTGCTTGAAGTTTAGGTAGTGCCAACATGGGAGCAGCAGATAGTTTATGCTTCAAAGATTCAAAAATTGCTGGTGCTGCATTATTGCAATAGAACCGATCAGCAATTGTGCTGAAGTGAAAGGAAAGGTAAAAGGAAACATTTCTTTATTATTTCAAGAGTTTACAGCAGAGCCTAATATATAGACCTATTACAAAGCTTCTAGAATATAGTAAAACAGATACGGGTAATCAGATATAGGTTAAATGGTTCAGCCTTATTACACCCCCTCAAGCTGATGGTCGTAGCCGAACTATCAGCTTGTCACGAAGATGATGAAACCGAGTTGATAAGGATTTGGTAAAAATATCAGTAATATGATCTTTAGTCGATATAGGGAAGATCTGAACCGAGTGAGTGTTGATGTGGTCTCGAATGAAATGGTGATCGATTTCTATATGCTTGGTACGAGCATGAAAAACCGGATTGTTTGCGAGGGCGATGGCTGAGGTGCTATCACAGTATAGACTGGTAGGAGAGGCGGACGGAAGGTTGAAGTAGAGGAGGAGACGTCTAAGCCAGAGGACGTCGACTAAAGCTGCTGCAATCGAGCGGTATTCGGCTTCTGTAGACGATCGTGCAACTGTGTGCTGTTTCTTGACGCTCTAAGAAATGAGCGTATTTCCCAAGAATGAATAGTAGTCGGAGGTAGAACGTCTTGTATCTTTGTCGCCAGCCCAATCTACATCAGAGTATGAGTGTAATTCCATAGGTCCCTGCAAGATAGGTAAACCTAGTGAGATTCCTTTTATGTAACGGAGTAAACGGTATAGTAGTTGAAAATGGTGAGCGTCCGGATTATGCATATGTTGGCATAGGAGATTGACAGTAAAAGATATATCCGGTCTTGTTATTGTCAGATATTGTAGAGAGCCTGTGAGTTGTCTGTAGATGGTGGGATCAGTAGGTAAGGGCGGTGATTTGTGGAGATCCGGAGCTTTGGTGCAGGCTGGATTTGCAAGAGCTTTGCAATTGTTGACACCTGCAGATTCTAGAAGAGAGGCAGCATATGATGACTGTGAGAGCATGTAGGAATTGTTTACTTCCTTTATATCTATGCCCAGAAAGCTGTTTACAAGACCCAAGTCTTTCATTTTGAATTGTTTGTGCAGCTGGGAGAGGACGTTGGTAACCGTAGAGGCATGGTTACCCGTTATTAGTATGTCATCAATGTAGATAATTAGGTACACTTGAATGTCTTCTTTGCAAAATTTAAACAAAGAAGAGTCTGCCTTTCCAGGAACAAATCTGAGGGTGAGGAGGAAGCTTGAAAAAGTTTGGAACCACTGTCTAGGAGCCTGTTTGAGCCCATAAATTGCCTTCTTGAGTTTATAAACGTAATTGGGGTGGTGATCGTCCTCGAAACCTTTGGGCTGTTTCATGTAGATTGTTTCATTAATATTACCATGTAGAAACGCATTCGTTACGTCAAGCTGATGTACAGGCCACGTATTAGAAATAGCAATAGTAAGTAGAATACGAATAGTTTGAAATTTAGCTACAGTGCTAAAGGTTTCGAGATAGTTTAAACCGTATTGTTGATGGTTTCCTTGTGCAACAAGACGAGCTTTGAATCGTGCAATGGAGCCGTCCGACTTGTGTTTGAGTCGAAATGTCCACTGACTGCCTAGCACAACTGCATTCGGAGGAGGTAAAACAAGCTCCCAGGTACCTTGCTTTTGTAAAGCAAAGAACTCCTCTGCCATTGCACGTCTCCACTGGGGATGTTGAATGGCTGCAGTGTAAGAAGTAGGTTCTTGCAGGTTGGAGAGATTTTGGAAGTGAAGAAAGTTGAGCCGTTGGGTTGGTTTTAACGAGCCTATTTTGGTTCGGGTAGTCATAGGGTGAGTGGATGTGGCAGGGGTTGGAGGACGTTCAGTAATTGGTATGTGTTCGGTACTAGGAACCAATTGAGGTAGAGAGTCTTGCATATCATGCATAGTGAAATGTCTGAAAGAGTTAGCAGGAGAAGTGGATCTCTGAGGTGCAGGAATATTGCATTGGGGAGTCTTGCAAGAGGTAGGAACCAGTAGGGAAGGCGGTATTCCGTGCTTGGGAGGAGTAGTAGGACTTAGTGGTTGCTTGAACGGGAAAGTTAACTCATCAAACACAACGTGCCGTGATGTGTAAATCTTATTTGTTGTCATATCTAGGCATCGATACCCTTTTGATATATGAGAATAGCCAAGAAACACACAGACACGAGCACGAGGTTGCAATTTATGTCTTTGGTTCGGAGGTATCAACGGATAACACACACAACCGAATACTTTGAAAAATTTGTAATCAGACAGTTTGTGAAAAAAGCCTAAATAGAGGAGACTAAAGGTTAGTGGTTGTAGTGGGTAAACGGTTGATGATGTAGGAAGCAGTTAGAACAGTGTCGGGCCAGAATGCGTGAGGAATAGAAGCACTGTTAAGTAACGTTCGAGTAGTTTCAAGCAAATGTCTGTGTTTCCTTTCAGCCAGACCATTTTGTTCAGGTGTGTAGGGACAAGAGGTCTGATGAGCGATGCCGTGGTGAGTTAGAAACTCCTTGAAGTTGTGATTCAGATACTCCGTACCACCTTCTGAACGAAGACATTTAATCTGAAATTGAGTTTGCTTTTCAATAAAACTTTTAAAATTGCGAAAAATTTCAAACACTTCAGATTTGTGCCTCATAAAAAAAACCCACGAGAAACGAGAATAATCGTCAATAAAAACAACATAATAGAGAAAGCCTTGATGCGAGGGAACCGGCAACGGTCCCCAAACATCAGTATGAATAATTGCAGCGGCATAGTAGAATGAGTGCGATTATTGGAAAAAACTAGTTTGTGACCTTTAGAGGTCGTACAATCTGAGCAAAAAGAAAAATTATACGGAATGTGAAAATTCTTGTTATTTGTAGATATGGCTTGGATGATTCTTGAATTGGGATGGCCCAATCTTTTGTGCCAAAGCGACGCTGTTTGAGATATGGCAGTAAATGCCTTTGTGGATGAAGCCGATGTGGTAGCCGAATGGGTAGAGTCCTCTATTGCTTGGGCTCGAGAGAATTGTTCTGTTTGTCTTCATATCCTTAATCGTAAAACCGGAGGGATTAAAGTTTACATAAACATTGTTATCTTGTGTGAGATTAGAAACAGATAATAAGTTATGAGAAAGATTAGGAACATGAAATAAGGAGTTGAGTTTAAGTTTACGATACGGTGTTGGCAGAATACCAGTGCCAGAGTGGGCAATGGGAAGGGATCTGCCATCACCGACTGTAATGTTGTCGGGACCATTATAGGACGTAGCTTGCGAGAGGTTGTCTACCGAGTTGGTGAGGTGAGCCGAAGCACCCGTATCAAGGTACAGGTCATGATTTTCTACATCGGTATCCACGACAAATGCTCTGGATTGCGAATTAGGAGCAGGCGTTTCGGGCAGATTGACAAAAGTATTTAGGCGGTGCCAGCAATTATGTGCAAGGTGTCCTTTCTTGTTACAGATTTGACATTGAGGGATATTTGCATTGGACGGTCTTGCTCGTTGGGACAATGATTTTTCATTTCCTCGCCTTCTGCGACCTCTGTATGAATACAAGGCAGTGGATGAGTCGCCTATGGTGAGCTGTCGCATTGCTTCGAACTGGAGATTTATTTCCTCAGTTATCAACAATGAGTAGAGATTCTCAAGATCCATTGGTGTCTGCATCGCACGAATGGTTGTTTTAAACGCATTGTATGACGGTGGTAAACCGTTTAGAGTGTAAAGAAGAATATCTTCTTGATCAAGAATTGATCCTGCGGAGACGATGTTGTCCACAATGGTCTTTATTTGTTGCAGGTACTGCGTCATAGTTTGAGTTTTCATTTGAACGGTATGTAGCTCATTTTTGAGCTGAATGACACGCGATCGGTTGGACGATTGTAGACGTCGTTCTAAAGCGCTCCAGATGGCTGAGGTCGAGGCAAGATGGATCACATAAGGGAGAATAGTCAGAGAAAGAGTGGAGTAGAGGGCTGCGGCCAAATTTTGATCAACAAGAACCCATTCTTGATGTTTTGGGTTCAGCTCTTTTCTGCCATCGGCGAGCGTTTTATAGCTGGCTGGAGGAGATGTTGTTGGAAGAAGGAATGAGGCAAATCCATTAGCTGTCAGAAGTTTTAGCGCCTGAGATCGTCAAATTGGGTAGTTATCGGAGGTAAATTGCGCTGGAACGATAATCTTGATGTTGGAAATGACGAAATTGAGGGCAGCGGGAATGGCTGGTCTCTCGTCGGCGTAGATTTCTGGAGTATCATCAATATGTGTTGATGAAGATGCCTCCATAGTCGGATTATGGAGAACCAAGAAAGTACGAAGCACAAGAAGAAAGAAGATGAGCAGAGGGTTTGCAAGAAACGAAAAACTCAGGGATGAGGAACATCGTGCTCTGATACCATGAAAGGAAAGGTAAAAGGAAACATTTCTTTATTATTTCAAGAGTTTACAGCAAAGCCTAATATATAGACCTATTACAAAGCTTCTAGAATATAGTAAAACAGATACGGGTAATCAAATACAGGTTAAATGGTTCAGCCTTATTATGAAGTTTCAAATGAATCTTCTATAAAATAACGAAAGGCCATGGAACTGTTGACCTCTGTGTAAAGAACTAAAAAGGAAAGTGTCATACCTCATA